GCTAGATTGGTATTTTTGGAACTCCTAACAGTGAGAGTGTGGGTGTCTCTGACTTTTATGCCTGCCCTTGGGACCCTTTTCTTCCTACTGGGTTGCCTTCCCCAGTCCCAATACGAGGGTTTATGTTTAGTCTTATTGTAGCAGTACTCGGTTGATATCCTCAGGAGGCCTGCTATTTTCTGAAGGGAAACAGGAGGAGTGGATTTGGGGGAGAGGGAAACTGTGTGTGTGGGACCTGGGAGGAGTGAAGGGAGGGGAAACTGCATTTGGAAAGTATTGTATGAGAGAAGAATTTTTTAAAAAAATGTGCTCGAATTAAGTCACCATGAACAAATCAAAAGCAGACATCTCCTGAACCAGCATAGATATGGGGCAAGGGCTGAAGTGCCTATTGTGACCCAGTGAAGAAATGAAGTTCAGAACAAATGCAGATCATAGCCTCCTGGCTTTCTATGGGTGCAGCTGGTGGGTGTGAGGACACAGCCAGGGTATTCTTTGGGACTCAAATCCTTCTTTGTCACTCCTGCAATGTGGATATGGCTCCCTCAAAAGCAGCAGGGAGGAATTGGAAGAGCAGAGGACTGTGGGAGACCCACCCTCGTATGAGAATAGGAAGAGGCTGCGTGGCTCAAAGGAAAAGGAATGAGGCTTTTTCACCTTGGAAGCTGAGATCATAGTGTCTCCAGCTCCCAATTCTTTGAAAACCGAGTCTTCCTTCCCCACCTTTCCCTGGCTTCTTAGGCTTCTTAGGAAAGAGGTGGCATCCCTTGGCTTATGGTCACACCACAAATACCTGCTGCACCCCATGTGACCTCTCAGGGTCTCTTCTCTTATGAGGACATGTCAGTTCTTAGATTTAGCTTCCATTTCATTCTGACATATTTTAACTGGCACATCTGCAAAGACCTCGTTTCTAAGCCATGTGTCCTTCTAGTGTCTGGTGGGGTTGGGCTTTGGATTTATGGAACACCATTTCTTCAGTTTGTTGCTATTGAATAGTCACAATATAGACACACTATGGGGGAAATCTTGGGTGGTGTTGGAACACAGCTCTCACACGTGTCTTGGCCAGATCTGCTCCAAGGAAAATATAATCTTCTGTTTCTGTTCCTTTATTTTTTTTTTAACTAGCCACTTTTAAAGGGTTTACCAAACTTTTCAGTACAGTACAGAGAATTCCAGCACATCTACCATCACTTCCCCCAAAGCCAACGTCTTACATAATCACAGTACAGGGTTCAGAGTTATGACACTGATGCCAGTTTGACATTGTCCACTGTGAAGACCTCATGTACACGTCTTGGCCCAAGATCCAATCCAGAACTTCTCACTGCGCCTCAACATCTCCTCCCTTCAGTAACCTTAGCAGGGGACACGCTTAGGATTGGTGGTTGTCACCGAGCACCCGGAGGCTGTGCTGTCATCTTGTCTACTGTCTATTACTGGGCTGGTGCTTGTGAAGTGGTGCCCAGGCCTCTCTATGGTGCAGTCCCCACTTGTTCGCGCCTTTTTCTTGGGGTGACACTTGGTGACTATGCAACAGGCCACCACTTATCTTATTTCTGACCACTAATCTTTTTTTTTTTTTTGGCTTTTTTTTTTTTTTGAGACAGGGTTTCTCTGTGTAGCTTTGGAGCCTATCCTGGCACTTGCTTTATAGACCAGGCTGGCCTCAAACTTACAGAGATCTGCCTGCCTCTGCCTCCCAAGTGCTGGGATTAAAGGCGTGTGCCACCAACGCCCGGACTGACCACTAGTCTTCATGTCCTTTGATGACTCTGGCCCAAACATTATTGTGCTGTTTTTTTTTTTAAAGGTTCATTTATTATATATACAGTTTTCTGCCTATATGTATTCCTGCACTCGAGAAGAGGGCACCAGATCTTATTATAGATGGTTGTGAGTCGCCATGTGGTTGCTGGGAATTGAACTCAGGACCTCTGGAAGAGCAACCAGTGGCCTTAACCTCTGAGCAATCTCTCCACCCATATTGTACTGTTTAATGAATGGCTATTCCTGGTTCCCATAACTCTTGGGTCTGGGCTTTCATGCTTTTCAGATAGACTTTGTCCTTTGGGGATACCATTTTGGAGCACTGCCTTACTTGTAGGGAACAGGTGCTTTAGGGTCACCACAATGTCCCTGTCTGGAAAAAGGTGTAATAAATACTTGGGATATGGGAGTACTCAGGGGCAATGGGTATCCCAGTGTCAGGTTTTATTTTTTTTTTAGGAGGTAGGATGAGACACATACTATAGCGCCAACATCTATGCTGTGTTCCATCCCACATGCCAGCTGGCTGTGTGTCTGTGTGCCACTTACATCCCAATCCCACAGTTCGGCCTGCTGCTTTCTCTTCATCCTGATCATTTTCCCCATTCACAGTTGGTCTTTCCAGGGCAATACTTGCTGTCCATATGACAGCTTCTGCCTATAATAGGCCTCAGCACAGACAAGAGGACATGTTTGATACTGTGGTATTGTCCTGACATGGTGTGAGTGTGAGTGTGTGTGTTGTGTGTAGGATCTGAATGTGCTGGGCATGTGCTCTACTCCTGAGTTACATCCACAGCCCCTGACTGTTTTGAGCCGGGGTCTAACTATGTTGCCCAGGCTGACTTCTCAAGCACTGAAATGACAGGGCATGACCTCCACTCCCCCGCCCCCACTCTTGAGCTCTTGATGTGTTCTAGGCAAGGGCCCTGAATGCACCTTTTGCATTGGTCCCCACAAATTATGTCACTTGTTCTGATTACCTATAATATGTTTGTTTGCTTCTCAGTTCTGGAACACACACGGTGATTGCAGAATTGCTTCTTCTCGTGCAGACCAGCTTCACAAATGAGGGCAATGCACAGCTGCTCCTGCCTTTCGTCTACGGCCAGGGCGCTGCCTCCTCAAGTGCACTCAGAGAAGTTCACTGACTCCTCACACAAACTTTTGGGGACTCCCTGGTTAATATTAATCAAGTTTCTTTTGAGGGTCTGCAGAATTTCTGTATTACCCTTTGAGAGCACAGATGGTTGAAGAAGTGGCTCCTAGCAGCCTGGTGTGTCTGGGCAGAGCCAGCCAGAAGGACGGTGGCTTTCCTGAGCCTTTGCTGCCCAGCCTGCATTGGCATCTGTACACAGGGTTATGTGCTACAGCTGCTCCTACCACCAACACTTCATCGGGAGCCAAGATAGTCTTAGCCTCTTGTCAGACCCTGACACATCTGCAGTGTTGCTAGCCAGTCTTCGAGGACTGACAGACCAGTATTGATCTAGGGATCACACTGAGTCAGGACACTGGCACAGCAGTCTCCTTTCTAAGCACATGTATCATCTTAAAGCCTTCAGTCCTTTCCACAACCACCTGGGCTGGGTAACCAGGTCCCTGTGAACAGATGAGTACATCGAGGCTCAGCATCTGGGATGCTCGTTTAGGAAGCAAGGAGAATCTGTTTAACTTTGGCTCTGTGGTCCTAAGTCCTGCCTGTTTCCTTCCTGCACACCCCAAGTAAACAATCATTCAGGGGAACTGAGAACTAGGAGTAGGTCTAGAGCAAAGTTCTGTTGACTGCCTTCTGGTCATGGATCACAAGTGGCTGATTTTCCCCTTTTGTGCCTAAGCCTTTAAAATGAGTACTTTTGGAACGATAGAACTTTCAGATTTTAGATTTCATCTCCCTATGTTCACATACCCAGAGGCTGATGACCACAGTCCAAATATCAGCCTCAAGCTCAAAGCCAGACATGGGCTTAACCATGGACTTGCAGGACCTGGTTGATGCAGTGTGCAGCTGACAGGCCCGTTGAGGCCAAAAGCATGATTCTGAAAGGGCATTTCTACCTCACTGATACTGTGTAAATATGTACACCATCCAAATGTAATCAAATAAAATGTTCTGTCTATTGGAAGCCTTCGTCTATATGGCAAATAACTCCAAGGAAAAGGGAGCTTAGCTCCTGGAATAAGTAAAATTATTTAAATTCTAGATAAATACCTTTGACGTTTGATACATTCAACATTGGTTCTATGTATGAAGTTTAATTATAAGTGGAATCTTTTGCATTCACTCAGGAGAACAGCATTTTAAAAGCAAATGTAGTCTGGGGATTTTTCTTGTATACCATCTGTATGCAGGTGTCTAATACCTATACTGGGGACCTCCTGGACTATGGTCTCTAACAGATGGCCTCTCCAGGACATGCTGTACCCACCCTGGGGCTTGGGGTGGATTCTTGGGGTGGTGATTTACCCTCTATTAAATTTAGCCTTTTGAGGCCCTACAGGAAAAGCAGAAGCATGCTTGCTTTTTCATCTGGACGTGTGTGTGTGTGTGTGTGTGTGTGTGTGTGTGTGTGTGTGTAGCCTGAACTTGGTATGAGATGCTGTGGGATATGTTTGTTGTGTCTTTCTTCCTGTATTAGTTATTTGAGAATTTTATACAATGTGTTTAGATAATAATAATCAACTATCCCTAACCCAACTATTCCCATCTACCCAAATTTGTGTCCTTTTTGCAAACATCTATCAAGACCAACTTGTGCTTCCCAAATATTCTTGGATATGTGTCCTACCATTGGAGTGTGGTCAACCTGCCAGGGGTAGAAAACTCCTAGAGAAAACTCTCTCTCCCTCTCTCAGCAGCTGACAATTGCCATTAGCTTCAGGCTGTTGCTTATACACCAGGGACCACCTGGGCTAGTCCCTCAGAAGGATGGCATGACCAGCTCCCCTCTCAATACTGGGATTTGTTCCAGCTTGGGCTTGCTCATGTCTTGTACATATCGTCACAACCACTGTGAATTCATATGTGCAGGTGTGTCCTGAAGACACTGCTTCCTTGGAGTCATGCCATGCCTCTGGCCCTTACTTCTTTTGCTACCTGTTCTGCAATGATCCCCGAGCCTTGGGAAGAGGGTGTTCAGCATATATGTTCCATTTAGGGATAGACATTTCCAGTCTCTTATTTTCTGCATCTTGGCCAGTTGTGAGTCTGCATTAATCATCATATACTACAAATAGAACTCTTCGCAAATGGGTGTGTCATCCTCGAGAAAGGACCATGCTAATTTTCTCTGTATTCCAATTTTAGTATATGTATTGCTGAAGGGAATATTGGCAGGGTCTTAAAGTCCTTGGGTCTTAAAGTCAAGCTCAGTGTCTAGTTATCCTATCTGCACAGAAGGTTTTTGCTAAGTGAAGACACAAGGAATTGACACAGGATAGCCTAGCCCCTAACTTTGTCACAAGCCATGCTTCATGAACATTTCTTGGAACGTGTCCTGGGGCCCCTGAGCCATGGGTAGCAGACCCTCTGGGACAGCACTGTACATGACTTATAGACCAGGGCTTAGCTTGTTCTGTATGTGGTCTGCATAAGATTTTGCACTGGCAGCATTTGTCTTCCTTCAGGGCTGGCTGGAGGTAGCCCATCACCAATGACCTTGGCTCTACTGCACTGCAATGTGGATGATGCTCCAGCTGTGGCTCTGGCTCTCTGGCCTTTTAGCTGTATGGAGGATGGTGGAATGCAAAGCTGTTGGCCCAGGACAGCTCCCATTCACTCCCCTGCTGGCCTTTGGGATACTGTGGCTGTCCTTATTCTAGCCATGAAGAGTCAGTAAGCTGCTGGTGCCCCCAATAATTCTGATCAATACAGTTGCTGCTGATGCTTGATGTTTGGTTAGTTTACCTGAACAGAGGTCTACATTTCTGACTCACATTTCTTTGAGGTTTAATGGTTCTGGAAGTTAACAGCACCCTCTCTGGGTTGTTAACCCCGAGACCCTCCCTCTGTGGGTCTCCATTCCTGTTCTCACTTCTGTTCTCACAGTCACACTTGGCCTGTCTGGGCAGGTTTCCTGGTACTCTGCCTTGATTCCAGTTACAGAGATGCTATGAGCATTAGGACATAAAAGTGTTGGTGGAATTTTGGGACAGGGTCTCACGTGTCCCAGGCTGGCCTTGAACTCAGTCTTCTGCCAATGCTGATCTTGATTTTTTTGTTTTCTTTCCCTCCACCTCCAATGTGCTGGGATTACAGATCTGTTTCACTATACGTGGCACATGACAGCTACCAACATGGGGTTAGGGCTGACAGCCCCTCATCATCTTGGTGCAAAACACAACTCTTGACTCTGAGGGTATAAGAGTTTATTCTGAAGCCAAATATGAGTGGTCATGGCCAGGGACATAGATTTATGTCACCCCAAATTCCACATTTGAACATGTTAACAGTTTGATGATGTTTTATGGTAATAGAACAAAGAAAGTCATAAATTAGGGCACATTTCAAATACATTGGTGGAAACATTAAGCAGGTGTGTTGAACCAAAGCAGGGAACTCTCTGCTCTTAGGCCTTAGATGCTATTTGCTGAATCTTAGTCTTTTTAGCTGCTGTAAACTGGGGTTCTGTTAATGCATTCCAAAAGGTTTCATGTTAGTCACAGGATGGTAAGTCAGACATAGAGATGGACAAGGGATGGCTTGCATGAGAACAGCTAAAGAGAACCCAAGATAAATTTTAATTAGGCTCTGGACCTGCAACATTCCAGCCTTTTCTCATTTACGTGACAATTGGTCCATCACCCTGGCAGGTTTGGTGGAGGGTACAGCTTCGGAGAAGTTTTGTTCACACTCTGCTTACTGAATGCCATGGCCTTCAGCAGCTAGGACAGCCAGGAGGCAGCCTAACTGCCACCTCCTACACTTGGGGCTCCATAGCTGTTACAAGATTTTCCCTGCTCTGAGACCTTGCCACTTCTAAATTCAGGCCGTAACAGATTAGTGGTGATAAGGATGAAAGTGACTTCTGAAGTAAGCTAGGTGAGGGTATCCAAGCTTTGACCCTGACCTAGCCTCATATTTGGCACTGTGAATTTCTTAATCTGTCTCTCTCTTCATCCCATCATCACCCTCAAGAGTTCACAGCAGGACCTGCTCCACTACCAGCACAAGCTGACTTTTGCATCTTAAGTAATAACCTAGGAGTTGCTTGCTGTATGACTTGGGGAAGGTCACAGCAGGGAGCTACAGGTTGGGCCCTGGCACTACCTAACCCTGGTCAGTGAAAAACAGGATACAGAAGTCGGGGGTCCATTTTATTTCTGTTTTGGTGGCTCTCTGGGTCAGATGCAAGCACTGGAAATTTGGTGTGAGGTCTGCTGGGAGACCATGAGACTTTTGAACCTCCAACACAGAATAAATTTGGCATGATAGCTGCAGTGTCAAGTTGGCTGTGGTTGTGGCCTGGTATCCTGGGAAGAGGGAAGCAAAAGGCACAACTGAGGTCAGGTATGACATGTTCTTCACAGGGACCAGGAACATAAAACTTGCTAATTATCCATTTTCCTCAAGATGGAACTTTTTTTTTTTTCCTGCAGTCAGTAATCAAGGAGCAGGTAGATGCTGTGACCTTTGGGCAGGACAGTCAGACAAATCTACAGAGACTGAAGGAGGATTGCAGAGAGGGGAAAAAAAGCCAAACAGGAATCTGTTTACCCTTTAAGCCAGGTATTTCACTGTTGCAGAGCCTTTATTAAAATGCTTCTCTCAGAGGAATCACGTGGCTTTTCTGGGCTTGAATACTCAGACTTTTTGTCTAAAGGTCAGTCAGCAAAGAGCTCAAATCCGATGGTAAAGAGCAGAGGGGGTGGTAAGGCCCCACTGAACAGAAAAAAGCAGTACAGTGGCCCTCCCCATTTGGAAGCCCAGCTTCAGCATCCAGTTAATGCAAGAAGAGAATTCTGCTTTGTGGCATTTCAAAATTAATACAACAGTCCAGCCTCTCTTTAGAGAACAAATGCCAAATATAGCATTCACATGTCCAGTCATATAGGAGAAATGGATTGGACCAGACTGGAACTTGTAATACAAGACCACCTATCCACCCACCCACCCATCCACATACTGGTCTATCCACATACTCATCCATCAACATACCCATCAATCAACCCAGCTACCCACCCACCTACCCATATCTACCCACCTATGAACCCAGCCCATCTACCCATCATCCCTCTAGTCACCAATCTACCCACCCATCTACATATCTAATTACTCATCCATATGTCCATCTACTCTTCTACCTGCCTACTACTTATCAGTCCACCACATTCACCCATCCATCATCCTACCCACCCACTCATTCATCCCCTGTGTGTGTGTGTGTGTGTGTGTGTGTGTGTGTGTGTGTGTATGTATGTATATGATATATGTCACATATCACATGTCACACATGTACATATATAAACATATCTCAATGTCACAGGCCTATTAAAGACACCATTGGAAGTGAATGAAAACAAGTCAGCATCTGCTCCCAGTCAAACTTGGAAGGGCAAAGCTTATGCAAACTGACACCTGAAAGAGCAGCCTGAGGAGAATGGTGAGTTCAAGGAGCATGGACTTCTAGAGGAGATATCCAAAGTAAAGTGAGCTGAGGTAGAGTTCAGAGAGTGGTGGGTGGGGTTGGAAAGAAGATTTTTTTTCAAATGGAGGGACAAGTGGGTGGTACAAGACAAGGATAGCATGAAGCCTGGATAAGCTCCATTGAGCATTACACTCAGGCCTCAGATTCTCAGTCTGGTGACTTGATTTCTTCAGCACCTAGAAGCCCAATCCTGAGGCTTCCTGGGCTTCTGCGATGGTTCTCCAACAATACAGGCCTATTTATCATAGAGATCTTGAAGACTTGAACAATTTGGAAAAAAAATGCCCATAAGAATTACATAGGTTATTTGGAAATCAATATTGTGGTTTCTCAAAAAAAAAAAAAAACCCAAACCAAACAAACAAAAAAAACCCAAACCAAAAAAACCCTGGCAATCCATCTACCACAAGACCCAGCTCTACTACTCTTGGGCATATACCCAAAGGATGCTCAGTCATACCACAAGGACACTTGCTCAACTATGTTCATAGCAGTTTTATTTGTAATAGCCAGAACCTGGAAACAATCTAGATGCCCCTCAACTGAGGAATGGTTAAAGAAAATGTGGTACATTTACACAATGGAGTTTTATTCAGCTGTTAAAACAATGACATCATGAAATTTGAAGGCAAATGAATGGAACTAGGAAAAAAAAAACCATCCTGAATGAGGTAACTCAGATCCAGAAAGACAAACATGGTATGTACTTACATATTAGCTGTAAAATAAAGGTTAACTATACTACCATCCACAAACCCAGTGAGACTATGCAACAAGGAAGATTCAGGGGGATGGGATGCCTGGATCTCTCCGGGAAGGGGAAAGAGAAGAGATTTTGTGAGTGGACTGCAGGTGGGTGGGGATTGTAACATAAGTGATCAGATTGGGGGTGAATGGGGAGAATACCTAAAGAGACTACTGGAAAGGGGGCGCATTTCAGGGCCAGTTATATAAAAACCTGGTGCAAGGGAATTTCCAAGAATCTACAAGAATGACCTCAACTTAGACTCAGTAATAGTGGATACATAGCTCGAACTGGCCATCTCCTGTGACCAGGTAAGACTTCACGCAGAGAGAATGGGAAATCAACTCAGCCACATAACCTTCGATCTACCATCTGTCCTGCCTATGGGATGTGCTGGGTAAGGGTGACCTAGAGATCGAGGGAGTCATCAACAGTCTTACACAGCTGTGTGAGCCACAGTGATGATCTGAGTGACAAGAGATGCCCACAAATTCAATAGTGGCACAGTGTTATGGCAGTAACCAATCACTTTCTGACTGGATTTAGGACCCACGCCACAGGATGAAGTGCATGCCTGATACTTTAAATCTGGCCACTAATCTATGTTTGAGGAGTTAATTGGTCCCAGGGGTGAATCTTCTAAATGCCATTTTGCCAAATGGACATAGTTTCAATTTTCCTTCTAAATTCCTGCTTCCATACCCATGGATTAGTGCAGGCCTTAGCCCCTTTTTAGTTTGCTTCTCAATCTTTTTTTTAAAACATTTTAATTGAAATAGAATTACATCCTGGCCCTTCTCCTTTTACTCTCTCCAGCCCCTCTCAGTTACCCTATCCTGAATCCCTCCCATGACCTGAATTGCGAAGTGGATAGCTTCTTTCTCATTTGTTATTTTGTACCACACCCACACACACACACACACACACACACACACACAC